ATGTGTGAAGGTTGTTTTTGTTATAAGGCGAGACAACATACATTTTTGTGGCTTTACGACTTTTAATATTTACTTTGTATTAATTTTTTTAAGTAACCGAAAATTAAATAAATGTAATAGAAAGATTAATTTAAACTTAAAATAAAATAATTTAGTAAATGTAATTGAGTCTTTCTTCAAACTTCAAAAGAAGAAAATATTAATAAACTTAATTGAAAGATTAAGAATGTACAAAGATTGCAATCTTGAAGTTAGCGCCCCTGTTGACTACTTCCGTAGCTGGAGATCGCAGTGATAACGGTGAATTAGAAATGGTAGTCATATGTCAAGTCTATATTCCATCGAGACTCTATCCCTTTTATAGAGTGTTGTACGTGTTTTTGATGTCATCACGAGAAAAGGTGAGCGGATTGTTTGATTGTGTTGGCTGAATAGATTCTGATGAAATCGCCAAGTTGTCTGTCGTAATTCAAGTTAATTAAATACTGGCGTGAAAGTTGAAGAGACTAGTGGGAAACGTGTGACGGATGGACGTGTATTTTTACAAAGCTTATATCAACTCACTCTGTCTGTCTGTCTGTCTGTCTGGTGAAAAGTTTAAACATGTTTTTTCTCCCATTTCCCATTCTTGGATCAGGTTAAAACTTTGCACAATTATTCATCAAACCCGACAAGACATGAATCAATCGAAAAAAAAAGTAAACAATTAGCTAATTAATTATTGGTAATTAATCATTTTGTTTGATATGGAAATAAGGGTAATAAATGCTACTTAATGAGAGTTGTCGATGTATGTACGAATTTAACACCTTTATTACGTTACGACATGTTTTTCCTCTCCCTTCCCATTCTCAGATCAAGTTCAAATTTTGAATAATTATTCATAGTCGATGATAATATACGAATCATCCAATAAATAAACCAATTAGCTAATCACTTAGTACTAATTAATTAATTTTGCTTTAGATAGCAGAAAGGGAGCTAACCCATGTACTTTTCGGGTAAATGGCAGTAATTATCGGTTCTTTCCCTTTGAAAAAAAAAAAAGCTTTGTTCTTCAAAAGTATTCCTTTTTTTTTTTTCAGCTGCCTGTTAGTGAATTATATTTTGTTGAAGTTGAAGCTGTGTATATTTCTAAATAAAAGTTAGATTCAGTTTTGTTTTAAGAGAAGCTTGTTCAAGTTTATTTCAAGTTTTACGTTGAAAATACAATATGTCTACATCTGTTTGTTTATATAACACATCCTGGGACTACACACCAACCACTGACTATCAGAAACCCCTTATATTCAATGGCTCTCAAGATGCGCAGAGTGGCGCTTATAGGATGCTACAAGATCATCGCATGGAGCTCCTAGGCTTTGTTATAAGTTCACTATTGGAACTGTTTACAACTTCGAGGGTGGACGCTTGGACCTTATTAGGTTCAAAAAACAACACAAAATAAACTTCATTTCTAATTAAATGACTTTTTCGACCAGCTCCTTTATCTTATATAATACAGACGTTACTTCAAACAAAGAAGATGATTACGTCCTACGCGTTATGCTTTTAGTCATGCATATCTATCAATGACCTAAATTCTGCCAAGTCACTGGTTTTCCTGGCTGGCTCAGGCAACCCATTCCATGCTCTAATAGCGCTAGGGAAGAAGGAGCATATGCACAAATTTGTCCTAACATATGGAACGAGGAATGTATGGTCTAACCTGTAAAAATGTTCAATTGTGAAAAAACATCCGAAACATGTAAAACAAACAAACTTCTACTTAAATCTAAAAGATTCAGAAATAAGGCGCTACTAATTGGACGCTTTCGCATTAAACAAAGGCAAGCCAAGGAACATAAATTGAACTTCACTGTTGCCAACTTAATCACAAAAAAAAAAAAAAAAATAGAGATACAATTAGTTTTTAAATAAGTTGTAAGTCTTTAGATTTATTTCTATTTACTTTTTGCGCAACTTTTTTGACTTGTTTGTGTGTCTAAATGTTGCTGCGAGAACACAATTAATTGCAGAATATCTTTATTTCTGTTTCTAATTGGCCAATGATTACATTTTTTTTCTTTTTTAACCAATGAGTTTGACAACAACGAATGTCACTAAAAAAAATGATAAATCAAGCTTAGCTTTATATCTTTAGATTGTGTTATATAACAAGTTTCTCGAGATGATTATGTAAATATGTGTGTTTATTTACTCTTTAAAGAGATTTAAGGACATTTTTTAAAATTATTTCTCCGTTGGATAATTATTCCTATATTTTATGGCTATAGTTAGAAGATGTTACTTTTTTTTATATATCTAAATGTAGATGGGCGGGAAAAGGGTGGGGGAGGGGGACTTATTTGAATGAATTATAATTTTTTGTATGTGTGTGTAGAGGGGTTTGTGAATAAGCGAAGTTGAGAAAAGAATTAAATTAGAATGAGTTCAGAAGGGGAGCAAAAAATGCTTTGCATTTTACATAAATTTATATTGTTAAACTCTTAAAATAATTTCAATTGATATGTGTTTGGTTTTGTCCATGTAGCCTGAAGCATTTATTAAAATTCCCTCCCACCCGCCCTCTGGAGTATGAATATGAAACATTATTGAAACATTCGGGGCGACATTTCCTTTGGGATCACACCCTCTGGCCTCTTCAATGTGTCTGCGTCATTTGTGTGCCGCCCTCAAACGTTGATGGCCGCAGTCTGAACGCCCCTTCACTGATTGATAGCTTAAAATTGCTAGACTGAGATATTTACTTTTTAGTAATTCAAGAGATCGGGGCCGGATTTACCTATAGGCAACACAAGTTAAAGCTTAAGGCCTCCAAGAAGTGTTTAGCACTAACATAGAATACCTGGATTTATTAAGGGCCTCAAAAGCGCACATAATCTCAAATAGTTAGGGCCTTTTCAAGCCGTAATATGGCACTGAAAGGGATCATGTCTCCGCCAACCCTTCCGCAAAATGCTAATTTAATTCAGTCGAATCCGGTTTTCGGCCAGCCGCTTTTTGGACCGAATCCTAAGAGCCGAAACAAATCCTATCATATAGTCGAATCTTGTTAATCGCACCAGCCGGTTATTAGTACCAGACCGTTTACGTCTCGATGTGGTCCGATTAACAGGGTTGGACTGTTTTCCCATCTTATAGAACGATTTTATTTCTTTTAACAGATAAGACTTGAGATATTTGAAAACAGTGATGTTTTAAAAAATTTGACCTTTGATCTTTTGATTTTAATTCACTACAATAAAATATTTGCTAATAGGGTAGAAAGTCTTTTATCCTGACGTCGTTTATTCGAAACGTCAAATTTCTGGACTGCTTTTTTTTTTTTTGGTTGTTATTGTTTTACAGTATGGTATCTTACTTGTCTCCAATACACACTTTTCTCATGTTGAAAAACCAAACCAAACATTTAGACTATTTAGTCTATTTTATACTAATGATTCTAGCTCAGCTTCTGGAAGTCCAGGAGTAAAGCCACGACCTTAAGAAAGCTTAGACAACCTGTTGCTATGTAAACAAATGTTTCAATAATAGAAAATTTTGTCATGCGCGTGACACACTGGAAGCGTTTCCACTGTGTTGGGTCTCGAGATTGGGTGGAAGGGGGGGGGGGGGGAGTGGGAGGGGGGGGGGTACGTGAAGTGACGTCAAGGAATATTTTGATTGAGATTAAGACGTTGCAAGGGTTCAGGCCCCGAGGACGGTCGAGCTGAAAGATTTATAGCGCAATGCGGAGCTCAGACGGCGGCATGTCTAGTCAATTCTACAATGTTGAGGTCCTCGCTAGACCAACAAAAAAGTCGCCCGACCTGTGATCGTAATAAAGTCTCTTGATAGATCTGGGACAGAGATATCTACTTCAGAGCTGCCTAACTGTTTCGGCTTCGTGGTCACGTTAGCTAATGAAAGTGTGTGTCACGTGTCTTTATGACGTGTGTGACGTGATTTTATGACGTGTGTGTCACGTGTCCATCGTAACAGAAAAAAATTTTTTTCAGTCTAATGGAACCCTCCACAGCTTTCATTGTGGACAGCAAAGCCAAGGGACCGGATAGCACTGCGTCAATGGTAGGATGTGGCCCACGGGTCGTAGTGTGGCATCACTGATCTATTTTCTACTTAAAGAAGCTTTCAAAAACAATATTATGGCTCCGGAAACAAAGTTTGCATTTTCAAGTTTTTGAACACCATTACCTCTCTTTAAATTTTGGAGTTTGTAGAGTCTAGTTTATTATATAGACTAGTCTATTGAACTATCTAAACTTTAATTATAATAATTTTAAATAAAGCTTACATAAATTATGTTAATAATAATATTCATATGACATTTAATTATTTAAAACTAGTCGACCGGCGGCGTAGCATACGCTGCTATTTTGCAGGGCCGGCCTTAGGCCACTACAACCTAAACGGCATTATGGAATACCCGCAATGGTGGAATCTAGTGAAAGAAGCTTCTCGCGCCTCAAACTAATGAAGAATTACTTGAGGTAAAAAATTCTCAAAGATAGATTGAAACATTTGTTAATTATTGCTATTGAGCGTTATCTATGTAGGAAACACAATTTTTATGATGTACTGAATAACTTCGCTACACGCAATGCTCTTATAGTAATTCTGAACGTAGTGAAGAATGAAGAAAATGCTAAGACGAGTGTATTTTCTAATATAAACTCATAATTTTCACTTATTATCCGTATCCCTACCCAACAGGGCCCCGCGAAATCCGTTTCGCATTGGGCCCCACAATGGTTAAGTCCAGCCCTACTATTAAGCTACTTCTTATCTTATATAGCTTAAGCTACGGTAAATATTACTTGCTTTCCCACCCCCTCTCTCTTTTTTTTTCGCCTCTAAAATTAAGTGGGGTAACTCTAGTCCGTTCGACTTGCAGAAATAAAAGTGATCTTTCCATTACTTGGTGTCCAAACCATGAAAAGAATTATATATATTGAAAATTGTTTATTACATTAAATATTTAGATAAAAAAAAATAGATGGAGCAGCAGGGTATCGATCCCTGTACCTCTCACATGCTAAGCGAACGCTCTACCACTTGACCTACAGCCCCTCTTACGAAGACGTCAGTCTGAACAGAGCAATAAAAAAAGACATCTTATCTTATCCTTCCCGCCACCCTGTCATACGGAGGGAGAGACTCTGGGTTAAACTTAAAGTTTCATTTTGCGTTCACTTCCAGTGGACAAGGACACTCCGGACTCGCGGACTAGAGACGCGACCGAAGGCCGTACCACTTAGACCCCTTAGACCGTAATCGTATACTATACTAGGCTAACCGTGCGGTACACGCCATTGTCACATGTAAATTATGAGTGATTCTGGTGTTAATGTACATTTTGGTTTCTTATAGTTATAATGTTTTTTGTTTGGTGTAATGCACAAATTGTAAGACAAATTTCCATACGGACAATAAAGATTATTATTTATGTAACGGCCCCTTGAGGGACGGCGACTGGATGTTGACAGATCGCTGCGGGAGCTCTTTTTCATCCCCGCTCAGTGCAGTGAAGATGCTTTCGCGCCCTCTTAGGCAATCCCGCGGGAGCCTTGTTTCGCCACCAATTTGTCCTAGTCGTCCCCTCCTAGGACCGTTTCCACCCGGGCGCCACGATGAGGCAGGGCTTTTATCTGGTAATCGCTTCTCCTCCTTTTGTAGTAGTATTATTATTATTATTATTTAATTACTGTTTTGTTTCATTGGTTTCGGCCTGTCAGAAATTTTTATTGCGCCCTACTTCAAACCTCAAGCGGGACGGAGTGAGTGGCAGAGGGGCCGTGTACTGTTAGTCTCCTGGTTTCAGTTTATCAATGTTTCTACTGAACTGAACATTCAGTAACTTAGCTAGGGTTGGAGAATTTGACAACCCCCCCCCCCCCCTCCATCGGGCCCACACTTGAGTGGGGACACCAAATGAGTGTTTTTTATGTTAAAAATTAAATGTTATGCAAGGAGATCAAGCCCCCCCTGGCCCCCAAATGATGAAAAATTCCTTGCTACGCCCCTGTAACCATTAGAATTATATTAAGAAGAAATGCACAAAGCTACATATACAGCTTCTATTTGTTCAAAAGACAAATTTCCCAGGCAGTAGTTAAAGGTCCAAACCATGTCAGTGTGATAGGTTTCGGAAAAATTCTTACAATGTCCACAAAAAGCAAACCAGACCCTGGGCTAACCAAGTGGGGCTAATATTACTTGATGTTGGGCCATAACATAGCGAGCTAGCAATAGATTTTACAAATAGATTCTATAAAATAAACCACATTTAAAATCACAACAGTCGTATTTTTCGAATTGTGACCCTCTACAGATTAATATGGGGGGGGGGGGGGGATTATTGATTGACATTTTACGACTTGTCGTCAAATAACGTCTAAGGATAAGTTTCTTTGTTTGTTTTAATAAATTCTGATTTTACACTCAACTGTTGGAGGTTTTATATTTGTTTCTATTGGCCAAACAACAATAACGAGAGAGGAGGGGGGGGGGGAGAGTGCAAAAGAGAGAAAGAGAGAGAGACATATATTTCTTTTTAATTATCCGGGACAATGTATAGCCTTTCAAAGACTTGAAGCCTGAAGAAGAATCAGATTTCAATTAGACAACAACAATAAAATGAGTAAAGTATTCCACTTTTTGTGTCAGAAAAAGCCCATCAAATTTAAGTCACATTTTTTTTTTTTTTAAATGTCAACGCTACCACCGGCCTTGTGATTTTGTATTGTATTGTTTTGTCTCCGTGACCATTGGCAGTCCGTTGCTTGTTTTATTTCCCTTGTTCTGTCAATTAAGTGCGCCTTCTAAAACCACTAGGGCTTGAAATGATTATTGGGTGGTTCCAAAGAAAAAAAAAGATTTACTATTATGTGTTTGTGTGTTAGTGCGTGTGTTTGTTGGCTTCATGAGGCCAACGATGCTCATCCCCACCCCACCCACCTCTTCAAATCGTGACAATCCAATTGACCCAGCGTGAATTTGTGAATTATAATCCTGCGTGTGGTGATAACAGGGGCGTAGAAAAAAACAGCCGATAGGAAGGGGACAATATTATAAAAAAAACTCCAGCAGCGTGATCTGTTTCGTGAAGTGAGTGAGAAGACAAGAGGAAACGAAAGAGAAAGAGAGAGTATGAAGTATGATAAAGAGAGAGAGAGGGTGTGTGTGTGTTTGTGTATGTGATTTGGGAAAGAGGGGGAAGACAAAAAAAAGAGAATTAAAAGCCATTTGGAAAAAAGGAGGATAAAAAGAAGATAAAAAAGAGATGTGGAAGAGAAAAGAAACATGAAAGTGAAAAGAGATGTGGACAAAATGTGAAAGAGAGGCGGAAGAAATGGTACAAATGGATAGATCGAAACAGATTGCACATAAAAGACACGGAGTGAGAGAGAGAGAGAGAGAGAGAGAGTAAGAGACTAAGGAAGAGGAAGTGACGACCTCATCTAGTAAAGAAGGATACAGCAATGAAGTGCTCAAGTAAGAGAAGGAAAATGATGTTTTATATGGATGACATTATATGGATGACATTATATGGTTGACATTATATGGAGGACATTGTATGGTTGACATTATATGGATGACATTATATGGATGACATTATATGGATGACATTATACGGATGACATTATATGGATGACTTTATATGGATGACATCATATTGATGAGATTGATAGGATGACAGAGTTGAAAACAGAACATCAAACTATAGTAAACACATTGCACTCAACTCTGGGGCTCTAACACGGAATACTTGGTTAGGCCAATATTATAATATATACATCCTCTGTTTTGGAGCCTATCAGAGCAAAAACACAATAAGAAACTACATCAGACATAAAATAGAGCTGTGAGATTCATAACAAAACGAATATTAGTAAAGTCATTACATTTAGAGACGCTTTAGGACGAAAAGACTAACAAGCAAAATACAAAAAAGTACTTAAAAGAAACAAAGCTTATATAAGGTGTATCAATCTATAAAGGGGAATAATTCAGCTTATGTCAATTACTATTTTTTTCCTTGTTTGAGATACCATACAAAGTAATTTATCACCAATAGTTGATTAGCTACATTTAAAAAAAATAATTCTTGTGTTGTAAGGTAAAAGAAATAATTGTGCGAAATTTCTGTTTGATCCGAGATTGGGTGTCGGAGAAATAACGTGTACAAACTCTTGGCCAGACAGACAGACTGACAGAATTAGTTGATATAAGCTTGGTAAAAATAACGTAATCTATAAATACAGAAGCCTAATTAAAATACCCAGATGGATACAATGATCACGGCATATTTCTTATTCTATTTGCTGAGACATATAACTTGAAGCCCTCCTTCTTTCCTAGTGCTATTAATGCATAAAATAGTTTGCCTGAATCAGCCAGGAAAACCAACGGCTGGCAGATTTTGAAGTCACTGATTGGCATGCGCGACTAGATCGACACATGAAATGCGTTGGAGGCATCTTTTGAAGTGACGTTTGTAATCTAGAAGAAGAAGAACAAAAACTGCCAGCAAAACTCTACAAAATGCACGATCACAAAAAAATAAACTATAACATAGAAACACACACACACTCAGTATAAACATTATTAAGAGATCAACAAACCAACAAAAGAATCAATCAATCAAAAGCGATAACTCTTTGATAGTAGACAGACATTTTGTGTGCCGCCGGTGTGAATAATCGCAGTTAATGTGATATGATTATTGTGTGTAATATGATTAATGTGGAATGATATGTGCGTGTGTGATATGATTTTTTGTTTGTGTAGTAATGCATGCGTGTGGATTATTTATTCTGTGTGAAATATAATCATTGTCCCCGTGATAGGACTATTGTGTTTGTGACGCCATGATGCTCTGTGTGTCATATATGTCTATGATGAATTGAGAAGAACGAACAGGACGCAATTCTAGTTCTATTCATTCAGATCATGAACATCCAAGGCTATAGACGTTCAGGAAACAGAACAAGCAAAATAAAAAAAAAACTTAAAAAAACAAACAAAAAAAGCTGATATTAAGTCTATTAATTAGTTTGGATAAGTCATGTAATAAAATTTGTAATAGATCTAGACTAACAATAATAAACCTGTGCGATTAGAAATATTTTTATCATTTTTTTTTTTTTTTTTTTTGTTTAGCGCAATTTCATGCTTTTAGATTTCTCACTACACTATGATCCTATCACTTGTTTGGACCAGTTGGGAAGGGGTGGGGGAGAAAGAAGAGGGTATTTGGGTGATCGCTTTTTAAATGTATGTATATAAAAAAAAAAGTGAACGACTTGGATTCGAACTCGTGAGCTTAAGTTTCCCTTTCAGGCCTAGCGATCTATAGGGCAGATGATGTTAAGGTTATCTGTTTCTTTAACCAACGGTTGACGAGCAGGGTGTCATGTGGCCAGCACAACGACCATCCATATTTGCTTTCCTCAACTATAGTCATGGTATCCATTAGAAATGGGTGGACTCAGGGGCGCCCTAAAATCCCGAAATTAAAAATCTCAGTCTTCACCGAGATTCGAACCCAGGACCCCAGGTTTGGTAACTAGTAAATATTTTTAAAGCGTTAATTAAGGTAATTACAAACATACTTATACTGATCGATTTGCAACTTCAACGACCCATGACCTTAACGACCTATGACATTAACTATCTTTATACTTAACTATTATGACCTAAACTACTTATGACCGTAACAATTTATAACCTTACGATTTATGACCTTATCGACTTATGAAGTTTACAACAGAAGACTTTTTGTCTTTTTACGACACCAATTTTTTTAAAAATAAATGACTGATAAAATCTTTGTATCACAGTTAAACAAGACAATGACGATAAATTGTGTCATAGATATTTATATGACGTCATTTCACAGCGCTGTACCTGTACAAGCTTTATCGAAGGCACCTTAGGCACTTTCAATCTTTTATCAAAGGTGCCTCCCCTTCATAGTGGGCATACGCTGGCAGGATTACTTGACGAATCCCCATGCTCTGCTGGAAGCCCGTATGGTCAGTATAGCAGCATTACTTTTACCATTCCAC